TACTTGTCCTAAACTAGCTCCTTTATACTATGTAAAAATTATAACCTGTGTAAGTGAGTTTAACTTAGAGATTTCTATAGTTTTTGTTTTATAAATGTGATAGTAAAACCTTCAAAAAAAATTTAATAACTCGGGTTAAAATTAATATGTAAGAATATCTATTAGTCAAGTCTAAGAGTTCTGATTTTCTATCCATTTCAAGAATAATTATAATTTGGTCATAATTGAATACTTGGAAGAATTACGGCAAAAAGAACTTCCTGAGGGCTTAATCAGTTAAAATGCTAATACTTTAAGCCTTAATTTAGAAATGTAATTAAGTTCCTTTCTTTAAAATGATTTTAGTGGAGCCAATTTTTGTTAGGCATCTCCTCAAGCTTCTCCTCACATTTTTTTTCATTCGTACTCTTCTTTTTTTTGTTTTTCTTTTCTTTTTCTTTTAGGATCTTTTTTCAATTCTTTCTTTTTCTTTTCATGTCATGTGAGGATTATTATATTTAGATAACCATTAATGATTTTGAGCTGCTTCATCCTCTTCTTAAATTTATAAACTTTTTGCATTTCCTTATTTTGACAAAATTTTATTAGTTTTAAAAAGATTTTTCATAAAGTCTCAATTCCTTTTTTTTAAGTAAAACTCTAAAATTCTTGACAATTCCAAAAATACAATTTTCTTTACTTTAAATAGTAAAAGTATAACCTTATCCTCTCATACTAAATATTTTAATTATAGAACTAACCTTTATTATTAAAAAACCTTAACTAATGTTTTTTATAACATTTATAAAATTTAAAATATAGTTATTTTAAGTTATCCTAACATACCTAGGTTTTGTTAAATTAAATTTTAAAAATGTCGATCTCTGAGAACAAATAAAATTTAGTTCTTTTAAAAAGATTTTCTCCCTTCCCCCAAAATTAAATTTTTAATTAATTTCAACAGAATAGTTCAGGAAGAAATAAAAATTATAAATTTTAAAAACAATGGAATAGTATAGGTACAAGTGAAATTAACATGTCTAAAGAAAATAAAAAGACTATTCTAGCATTTACATTGAAGTAAAAGATAAACATTAAAAATAGTATAACAATATAGTGTAATAAATATAACTTTAATAATTTAATACAAATGCAAATTTAAACATAAAAAGTCTAACGAACATATGACAACAAACTAACTACAGAAAATCTGAACATGAAAATGGAAAATAAAACACAACAAAACAAATTGATAACACTACACATCATCACCACCTTCATCATCATCATCATCATCATCATCATCATCATCATCATCATCATCATCATCATCATCATCATCATCATCATCATCATCATCATCATCATCATCATCATCATCATCATCATAATCATCATGAAAGTCTAAATCCTCCTCCATATCATCAGGTTTATAAGATGTATATCTGGGGCAAGTAGGAAATACTAACGAATAGTTAATGCTTAAGAATTTCTCCATCTCCTCATTATAAGTAATATCATAATCAACTCTTCTCTGCATATACTCATCATTATGATTGAGATGGGCTTCTAAGCATTTCTGCTGATTCTGTAATGTTAGGATATCTCCTTGTTGAATAAATAATTGTTCCATTACAATATCAAGTGAAGTAGTATCAGATGTTGAAGGTCTAGAAGTTGAAGCTGAAGCTAAAGTAGAAGGAATATCAGAGCCTCTACCTCGAGATCTTACTCCAATATATTTTCCATACATCTTCAAATTCATTTTTCCAATAGGTTTATGTGATGGTAAAACTTCTTCTCAAGTCTCATATGTCACTCCAGATTCAAAAACATGGTAGTAATAAGAGCAGGATAACTCATACCTCCAGTAGTTCACCCCCTTGAAGAAATAAGCATATTCTTGTAAATTAAAGAGCTAATGTCAATTGATTTTTTCATCTGAATGCAATAGTTTGATGTGGCTCTTTCTTGAGTTACCTCACTAAAGTGATTAACAGGAAGCAGTCTACCAAAAATAAAATAATGTTAGGTACGAGAATGAACATTTAGCTTCGAGAAAGAAAAGTTTACCCAATGTCCATTCTTAATCTTCCATTACCGTCAGTCAAAAATTGCATAATCTTGTCAAACTCATTTTTAGTAGGATAAAACTCAAAATAGAAACAAGTAGGAACACTATGCAGCTTATAAATGTGATTGATCCGAACAAAACTTATATCCACATACTGCCCTCTCACTTAAACCAAATCATCAGATTCATCAGGCAAATTCACATAGAATTCTCTAACAACAAAAATTACAACGATGACAGTAAAATAGCAAAAACTCTCCCACTATCGCTCTACAATCATATATTCAATTGTTCCATCAGGACGAATAAAACTTTGTTCTGTAATTAGTTTCTTAGATTGCAGATCCCTGTATCAATCTTGTGCTTTCATGCTAGCAAATTTATTAGCATTAAAACTCCTTTTCATTTTCCTCTTTTCATTTTAGGAGCCATGACAAATCTAGGAAATTCAAAACAAAATTCTAATAAATCTCAACTATATGATTTTTAGGCTCAAACAAAAATATTCTAAAATAAATGATCATTCCATGGATTTCCCACCATTTCCACAAAATTTTGAAATTTTTGACCATATTCACAATGTGGAAGAAATCTATGGTGAAATAAAAAAATTCCAAAGCAAAGATGAAGATCTTACCCCAAGATTTAGTAAAGGTAGAGGAAAATGATCAAGACTAATGACTTGTCTTGTGGGAATTAATCTAGTAAAGGTAGAGGAAAATGATCTTTCCTCGTGGCGACATTTATATTTCTATAATCAATACTCATTTGCCATCCATTGACTTGTCTTGTGGGAATTAATTCATTCTTTTCATTTGTAACAACAGTTACTCCTCTTTTCTTAAAAACACAACGAATAGGACTAACCTATGAACTATCTGAAATTGGATAAATAATTCCAGCATCCAACAACTTTAAAACTTCTTTGTTAGCAACCTCTTTCATTATAGCATTTAATCTTCTTTGAGGATCAATAACCCTAAGTTCTTAAACTTAATCGTTTAAGAATTCTATGCAAACCATGCACATGCTTAAGATAAAATAGAATGTCTTGAAAAGTGTGCACCTTATCCAAAACTTTATAAAAATATAACTTTCAAATGTCAAATTCAAATACATGCACGCTCTCAAGCAACCTGCCTTAACTATAAAGTGAGGTCGTAAGTCCCAAACTTGGACCAAATCCATACCTCCTCTCTACAAGAAATGGAGTCGACAAGATTGAGCCCTCATTCAGTTAGTCTGATCCTCCTTACAAGGACTAGAGTTGACAAGACTAATGTTCTTAATGCTGTTTAGGCTATCAATCCCCGATGATGATTGTGATGATAGTAAATCTCAACCAGAAGGGTTTATTTTCAAAAAATCAGATCATAAATTCTATTTTTAAAACTCAAATAATAATATAAGTTATGTTTCAGATCCTCTGTGAGAGGATAGAGTCGATAGGGTTCAAAGACATCAATCTCTAATAATTACTATAATGATATTGCATCTCAATCGGAATGTCTATTTAAAAAATAAAATAAAAAGCAAACCTCAGAGTCCATTTTTAAAAAGTCAAATAATAGTAATAATCATGAACGTGACCCCTGTGAGCTGGGTAGAGTCGATGAGGTTCAAAGGCAGTAAGCCCCGATGATGGTCGTGTTGATCATAAATTTCAATCGAAGCGGTCCATTTATTAAATTTAAATATTTAAATCAAATAAAAATAACTTTTAAATTAAAAATTATACCACTTATTGTTTAAAGTAAAATTCATCTACCCTTTGTATCTGTTTGCTGAGGCGGACAAATTTAGTACTAACTCAAGCTCACAAATAGCCAATGTCTTATTAAACATACAACTAAATTAATACTCAAAATAATCTCAAGCTAGTAAGGATGTGACCAAGTCCTCTGTTTGGGTGATTTTGTCGTCAAATGACATCACAAAAAAATGATTAAGACTCAAGCTCTCTAACCAGGTAGTTTGCCGCCAAATGACATCAACATATTACAGTCATGGGTGTAGCCAATATGTTCCCCAATAATAGTATGCCTTTTTGAATATTGAATTATAAGTTATATTTGATAGAGCACAAAGCTCTTTGTAAGCTAATGTCAACTTATATTAATCCTTCTAAATAATCATTCATCCTAGGTTTACAAGGTCTTCTTGGATGAAGCAACGAACAACCGCTGACAAGGATTCTTTGTTAGGTTGGGTCGACTACCTACGCTAACTAAGTAGACTAGGGTCCATGACAATCTAGGATGACATAACTATGTGATCTTGATCGAGTTCATCATCATTGCCCTCCTCATTCGTTTTGAGCTCGCAATAATAATTTTTACATATTTAAATTTTAAAATTTGCTTCTATTATATGCTAATTCTTAATACATAACGCATAATGACTAACCTTAATCTAAAATGCTATTTTGTTATGGGGGGAATAATTAACAATACGGGATCACACTTATGAGAAACCTCAAACGCCAGGTCTTGAAGTTCTCCCAAAAGTGAGAGCGAAATATCTGGGTAGTGTTTTATCTACTATATCATCAGTTCTTTGAAAATTTCACCCCAAAACTTTGAGCTCTCGACTAGAGTCTTGTGCTTTTTCGAATTCTTGTAGCCCACAAATGCCATTTATTAATTTTTATATCTAATATTTAAAAAATTATTTTTCATTGTACAATATTGTTAATTTTTAAATTATATTTATATATACAAATATAAATTTTAGAAGTTAAAAATATTGATATTTTTGATGCTACTTCAAAATTTAAGTGGTATAATAAGTAAAATTTATGTATTATATATGTAAATATATAAAAATCTAGTTGTATGTATGTAAATTCATCAAGAATATTAAAATTATTTCATATATTTTATTTATGAGTTATTTAAATATATAAAAACTTAGGTAGTGTTGCTTACTGTCACTCTTCATCGGTGAATCTTTATGAATGTTTGTGAATACATATAAGATTTTTGTTCGGGAACTCTCGTCCCAAAACACTCGGCCACAAAATGGCATCTTCGTACCACCGCGGCCAGTTCCCCTCTCCACTTTTCTCGCCTTCCCGCCGATCACCGATAACGGTAACATCCTACTTCCCTTTGCCTCCATTCCGCAACGCTCCTTTTCACCGCCGCAACCGCTTTCTCGCTTGCGCCGCCGACACCCTTCTCGCCGGAGCGCACAAGGAAAAGTGGAGAGGGGGCTTGAAAGGTTTGGTTTCCGGGGATCTGAAGTCTTGGCTCTTTAGAGAGGGGCTTCCCCCATGCAAGGTTGTTCTTCAAGAGAGGCATTCTCACGATGGGAAATATCGACCTATTCATTACGTGGCTGCCAGCGAAGATCTTCAAGTAGGATCAATTGATTTCTCTTTTGTTTGATTTTTTCGTCTTTATTGTGTCATACCATATGGTGTGATGTTATCACCCTCCATGGTGGCAGGCGGGAGATGTGGCTTTTTCTGTGCCGAATTCTTTGATTGTCACGCTAGAGAGGGTTTTGGGCGATGAAACTGTAGGTATGGGAGCCGTTGCGCATTTTTATTTCAAAATTATCGTTTGCTTGTTTTACGCTGATACTGTTTGACTGTGGTTTTAAGCATCTTTTCAAAGGAGAATGAGATAGGCAGTTGTAGGGAATTATCGATGTACTAGGTTTTTTAACTTGAAAATTTTTGTTTCTTTTATGGTTTGTTGGAACGTCTTTATCTTATTTTGTTTAAATTGAGAAAGCGCCTATAAAGAACACAATGTAAAAACAAAGGACCACATTTTCTGTCCGGACTACTGACGTAGCTCTAAGTGTCGTGGAGGTTATTCCTGAATTATTTTCAGGTTATTTCTGGGTTATTTTCAATAATCCCAAAATAACCCAGAAATAACCTTTGGTCTTTATTGAAATAACCTGGGTTATTTCGGCATTATTGAAAATAACCCAGAAATAACATGAAAATAACTCAGGAATAATCTCCGTGACACGTACAGCTACGTCAGGAGTCCGTACAAAAAAATTAGGCAAAACAAAGTGACTAAGTTCCACAGAAGACAATGATTTATGCGGGTTGTCTAAAATAAGCTTATCCCCACCGTGATTTTCAGTAGATTTATAAATAGGATCTGAGGCGTACAAAATTGATTGGACAATGAGCCTCTCCTTATTCCTTGTTTCATTAGATTTCTAACTTGTGTTCTATGCTGTATTGCCATCAAGTCATCTAATTGCTTAAACCACTGTTGCTTCACAAAAGACTAAACTCACTTTAAAACAAACACCTTCTTTTTCTAGGCAACTTCAATATTGCCATGCTAGGTTCTTTTAATTTGATCTGATATGATTTTTTAAGAAAATATAAGAAAGAAACTGCCATTTGAATATTGGCTGTGATTTTTTGGAGTTGCATCCAAGGAGTTTTAGCAAGATCAAGAATGATGATGATGATCCGTCAAACAGAAAAAAAATCTCTTTTATGTAAAACAAAACTCGTTGATGTAGAGATTTTTCTAGAGGTGTTGTATTAATGCAAACATCATTGTGGCTATAGTTTTTTAATTGTTTTATCCATTTGTCCCCCTTCTAATAAGATGGATTGAAATCCTTGTAGATAAAACATATGTTTACACTTCTATGAAATTTTAGATTCTGAAGAGCATATAATGTAAAGGATAATGTGATATACCATCGTCGTAATGAGACACTTCTATAGCTTAAGATTGAGATCTACAATTTATTCAAACAAAATGCAACATCTGTACCATAAAAAATTATGAATCTAAATCATAGAATATAATTGATGGTTTTTTGTATTTGCATATAATGTTTCTGTTTTAGAGTATTAGATAAATAACTAGTATCTACTTTTTACACATGAGTATGAATATGTTTAAGATGAAAATTTGATTCATGTACTAAAGTTAAATAAATTACTTAAATATGTATATAACTTTAGTACAACGTAAATATAAATGATTAGTTTTATCTCATAAAACTTGGGGTAAAAAAACTTGGAAATAAAAAATATCTAAAAGAAGATGATGAATGTTTCTTCTATATAAATGGAAAAGCTATACTAATGTATAAAAAAAATGAATAAGATTGTAAACTTAACCACAATTATGCACCATATGAATATATACAAAGATAGGAAAAAAATAATTTATTTGGGCAAATTTCATAGATTTAAGAGGTGCTCAATTGAGGTGTGTATTGCCTTCAAAAATAGGCAAATCAGGCACTCCTAATCTCTTTTATCTTTAAAATAAGTCTACCTTTAAGGTGCTATTCTTGGTTGTTACTTGTTCATGCACGAGTTTCTATGACACTAATACCATGATAGTTAATGTTACTATCATATTTCTATGTAGCCTTTAACGTGGAAGCTGCCCAGGAGGCATTTACGTGACTTCTGCTACAGTACTACGAGCCTTGCTATTGTACCGCGAGCCTTTCTATAATATCGTGACACACAAAAAGCCGCCTGCTTGCCTGGATCAAATCGGTTTAGGTCTTTGTGTCAGAGTGGAGTCAGCTAGTTCTCCTGGGCCACTCCTAGTTCTCTTAATATAATATGTTTTTTTTCTTAGGATTCTAGGGTTAGGTTTTGTGTGAGTTTTATCTGAAATTGTCGTTGACTTCTCTGTTTTTCATTCGAGGGTTGTATCTGAGAGTTTGAGTAGTTTTCTGACTGTATTTCTCTCCTGAGATGGTGATTATCTTTCTTATTCCCTTTGCATTTTTCGATGTAATTCTTCAATTCTAGCTTTTCTTGCTTGCTACCACCGCCTCAAATATCCCCTTTGTTGCTGCAATCTTCTTCCGCTGATGCAGCTGCCCGAAACGGTAATTTTTGTTGTTAATCCTACAATCCAGCCGCCCGCCACCTGCTTCCATCAATCCAATCTATTGCCTCGTGGCTGCAGCGTCTTTTCCCTCACTGCCGTCATCCGAAAAATAACAAACCTGTTTTTTTTAGTGTCCCCTGGCTGTTCCAGCCTTTCTCATTGTAGCTCGCAGCTCTGCTTGCTACCCCACTTGCTGTCCCAATCTCCCCAACCAATACTTCCATCCCCTTTCATTGTGTCGCCACTATTTCCCCGTAGTCCCACACCTAGCTTACCTTGATGCAACCTTTATAAGCCCTAAACGACCACCATCACCAATCGAGATCCACCCCAACATTCTGTCGTGCGTCGTGATTTTGTTATTTCTCATTTCAATGTGTGTTTGGTCATAACCGCTTATTTGACTTTTTTTGTAATAATAATTGTTTTTCCTATTGTCATTTGCGTTAACTCCGGTATCATTTGGTATCAAAGCTAATATAACCATAGTCTTATCCTAGATTTTCAGTATTCACATATACCCAATCCTATCTCCACTCAATTTTTCTTTCCCACCCTAAATGACCCCAACACATCTCCTTCGAGTTACCCACTCCCAAAATCGAATCATGCCGCCTAGGAAGCAATTGCCAGAATTTGATCGGATGTTCACCATGGATGTGATACAAGGGCAACTCCGTCGAGAGCTACAAAGGATCGATGAATATGAGGAAAGGACCCAAGAAGAGGTTGGGATGCCTCGTAATTGAGTTTTTTTGTCTCCTTTTAATTTTAGTAAGTGCATGTGGGGGAGATGAAAGAGAGGAAGATGAAAGTGCATTTTAGCCTTATAAGGTGGAACAAAACCACCTTTTCATAGCAACAACTTCAAACTCAGAGAAAGAAGAAGAAAAAGAAGGAAGAATCGTATGTAACTCTAGTGTTTGAAGGTAGAGTCTTAGCTTGCTGTAGATGCCAGATTCAATCCAGAGAAAGGAAGATGATGCTTTGTAATTGAATGTGGAACCTAGTCGTGTGCGTGCAATAGCAGTGGGGCTCGCGCTTGGAAGGGAAACATAAGGTCAAGTTGTCAAAGGAAGTTCTGTGCGACAATGGAGGAAGAAGTGGCTATGTTGCGTGTTCGACCAAGGGAGGGATGGTGCCTTGAGATTGAGCGGACGAAGCTGAGCTTGGGCCCTATCAGATGAGACAAGCCTCGTGTGCAGTGGAAGTGGTGGAAGAATATCACACACTCACACAGATATACATACACTCACACATACATACATACATACATACATACATACATACATACATACA